ACTTGTGTAAAAATACTAAATATGTAAAATACACGAAAACTTTGAAAACGTGGTCACGTTTGCCGTTTGCGAGGAGAAAAAAAAGTCAATCTATAACTCTCTATTAATGCTATATGGCGGGGACTTGTTGTTAAAGAGTACCGCTAGTCTGCTAGTTTGCGGAATAAGTAAAAACACTACATATGATCAGAGTCATGCTGATAAGAGTTTTTCTGTATATTACAACAGAATGTTTTATTTATTCTGCACAAAGCTAAAGTTTTATTTAGAGCAGTATGAACTGAACTGAAAAGGAAAACAAAGAAACTGTGGGGATAATATCGAGATGCTCAGTAACAGATTTGCATGATAGTGATCTAGTTTACACCATACTACGCTTGATTTGTCCCAGTAGGGGTGGGGCATTAGTGGGAAAATTAAAATGAAACAGCCTGTTGAAAAATGTAATTCTTCTAAATAGATAACAAGACTATAACCATATAATTGTGCTAAACTATAGGACAACTGAAGTAAAAAAAAACATTTGAGTAGCATAACCAAGAAGCAAACTAATCAGGCTTTAATCTTTAATAGAAGTGCTTCAAAGTTTTAGAGCTTAAAACCGGTAACATTTAAATTTCTTTAAGAAAAGATTTCAGTGATGTGATAAGCTGTGTGACAAAGGTTGTTGCAGTATTCAAGCATGGCTTGTTTTCTTGCAGATGCCTTCAAGATGCTGATCTCACTATTAGCCATCATCTTTGGCTTGACAGAGCTACTGAGCACCGCTTCTACCACTAACTCATTGTAAGATTACCAATTCTTATATCAATATAATGGAACCTCTCCTTACGGAAACCTATATATTACGGACAGATTTTTAGTTCTTGCGAAATCAGCATTCATTCCCTGTTTCATAGACCCGACCTCAATATAAAGACACTTCTATATTGCAGACATCTTTTTCTGACCCTTCGGTGTCCGTATTATAGAGGTTCTACTGTAAATACACCTTTTTCGCGTAACCGTCACGTGACATACTTATAAAACTTTGTAATGAGCATAAACGAAAAAAATTGTTACGCAACAATATTCTTAAAAAATTTTAATAATTAGCTTGAGCGTAATAATGCATTCTTATTTCAGATCACGTGCCATTCCCAAGAGTAACTTTCTTTGTTTAAAGGTTGCACATAATAAGACAAATGAATATGCATACAACTCAAACAAAGAATCTTATTTTCTAGGGAATGACCATGGTCTAAAATGGGGAAACATTACGCCCAAGCTAAAGAGACCTATTAAGATAACTGCGTACTGTAGGAGGCTACTTAATTACCCAAGGAATGCAAGAAGTTTTCCCGTATTTTGAGATTCCTTAGAACACCACACCCGTTAATTGTAGTAAACTAGAGGAACCATTGCAAATGCATAACTAGCTTTTCAGCCGCCTCGGCCGGGAGCCATTGTTTCCTGGTTGTTGCTGGCTTTCACTCAGCAGATAAAATTTTTTGAATCTCATTATCTGCTCCACATGGTGGTCAAACACTGAACACCATGTGCTGTCAACCAGAAAGAATCCTATTGAAAACTTGCGATTCAGCTGATGAACATTCCGAGACAGGAAATGAAGTGTAGTGAAAGCCAGCAATTCAAGCCAATTCTGGAAAACGCTATTATTCTAAGTTCGTTTTTGATTCTTATCTAATACAGAAAGCTTACCCCTGCTAATCTTAAAGTAAGCGATGAACGCCTTACCGCTGCAGGAAACAATATGTCTCTGATTATCAAACACATCATGAAAAACTATGACAAGAATGTTCGTCCGTATTACGAAGGTAAGTAAAATACATACACTCAAATGCTAAATCCTTGTTGGGTACTGATACAAAGAATATACCTGTAGAAGCTGTAGACGAAATAGTATATGGAAAGTAAAATGATATTAGATGTATAGAGAGATGCAACGCAACTCGTGGACTGTCATAATTTTTTTTAAATATTAAAATTATGGCACTAGCAGAGAGCATGGACGCTTTTCTAATATGGAATGTGTATCTCAAATTAATACATCAGAAGATAATAATATTATTTCCCAAGCAGGGCCATAGCCAGACCAAATTGTTTACCGAGGCGACGGAGCAGCGAAAGGGGGGATTAGAGGGTTTCGGGAGGTTCGGCATTCCCCTCCCGAGAAAGTTTGGAATTTAGAACCAAGGAAATGCGATTTTATAGAGTATTGAGGTGCATTTGTGACAATTTACCCAGTCAACTGACTTGCTTGCCTCTTAGTGGCTACGGCCCTGCCAGAATACCTTTCGGTTTCAGCTTCTGTCTCCTATGTTTTAAACCCAGTAATATTTTTGTAATTGAGTTTATATTAATTAGACTGATCAATTGAATCTTCATTCCATTTTCCTTTCCATTTTGTAAAGAAAATCGTTTTCGATTCTTTCATGCAGTGAAGCCCATAGATGTCCAGTTAGATATGCTGATACTTTCATTTGGAGAACTCAAAGAAGCTGATATGGTGAGTATGTACACCGAAACATTAACCGGACATTAGTATAACTTACTAATGGTATATCACAAATCCTGCACCCTGACTGGCTGAGCTACTTGTGGTCTATTTGTAATAGACTACTAGTGGCGAAAAATTGTTGTTTTAAAAACCTCGTTCTATGACTCAATAGCCAACTTTCGTTATTCTGGTTGAGTCGTCAAGTACAAAACATTTCGAGTCGAGACTTTGGGGAAACAATAATATCATCGTTATTATTTTTTGTTTCTTCGGAAACCTCGACTAGTAGTATAGAGAGTTTTCACGTGACGTCACAGCGGCCATGTTGGTGTACCAAAACAATACATTTTCTATCCTCCGGGAATTGAAGTTATTTTTATGCAAAAACTGTGCAGAAAGTTTATATCGTTTGGTACACCAATATGGCTGCCTTCTCACGTGAGTGAAAACGCTCTATTGTTTTGTGGCGGAGCGATGAAAACCTGAGAACGAAACATGAAACCAAAAGTATGCTTCATGCATTGAATTCATCGTACATGGTAATCTTTTTTCCAGGTATTTACAACGGATATATACCTTGGACAGTTCTGGCAGGACCCTCGATTCGCTTACGGTTTTAACAACAGTATAAGTTTTGGCGGGAACTACGTTGACAATTTCTGGGTTCCCGACACCTTCTTCGTAAACTCGGTGAACACGGAGATCCATCATATGATATCTCCAAATAAAAAGCTCTGGATCAGTCTTGATAAAGGCCATATTATGCTAAGTGCAAGGTATGATTACTCTTTTGATGTCTTCATTTGACTAATTTTAGAATCTTTGATGCCATTTGAAAACGTACGCTCTACGCTATTTAAATCATGTGTTTTTCAATAAAAGTGTGAGCTAACAGCGTAAAGCGCGCGCAGTATGCCCGTGCAGAAAAGCAAACGATAGCAAATGTGATTCTAAAAATAGGATGTCAAACGGTGCCTATGATGGTTACAAGTGAGAATCACAAAAATCATTCTCTTGGTTTATTTTCTCTTGATGCAAGACATTACCACAATGATAAACTGATAATGTTGGGTCCCTACGTACCTGGGCCTATTGTTCTTAATCATATCGATTTTTTTTTTAAAAGATAAAACTATTGATATACAAATACAATTCAAGTTGAAGGATTGTGCGTATAATCTACAGATTGAAATCCACGGCAACTTGTAAAATGGATCTGAGGAAGTACCCGATGGATATCCAGACTTGTCACCTGGCACTCGAAAGCTGTGAGTACAAACGTTAAACAAAGTGCCAACTACCTTTTGTCGTGTAAGGAAATGTTGCACGCATCCATAAAGTCGATCAGTAATACTGGTATGACATTTGAAGACTATAGAAATGAACAACTTTAGTGAAGATGTATGTCATTGACTAACGTATTCACCAATCAACAATTTTTCATTTATTTTAGTTTCCTTTGACGAGTCCGACTTGATGTATAAGTGGAAGAAGAAACTTGGTAGCAAGGTTTTCATATATGACTCAGAAATGGCGCAGTTCACTGTGGTCAACGTAACAAGAGGTTTGAAACATCCATTATATCACTCGCGTAAGTACAACGATCTGGAAAACACCCAATCACGCGGAATACATCACGTGACATACACGTCACAGGACGCACATTGCGTGACATACACTTCACAGGACACAATTCAAATGAGATACCTCGCATGACACACTTGGCATCACACACACTTAGCAAGTACACATTTGATCTATCAGCCCTTTCTTTTCTTTTTTTCAGGAAGTTTTTCCGGCCTGACCGTAACATTCGAATTCCAGCGTCGTACAATGTACTACATATTTCAGATGTACATTCCATGTATTTGCATCGTTGCTCTCTCATGGGTCAGTTTCTGGGTGGATGCAGAGGCGGTACCAGCAAGAGTAGGACTGAGTATCACCACAGTATTAACAATTTGCTACATGCTTGGCTCGGTCAACACCAACCTTCCTCGGGTTTCTTATCTCAAAGCTATTGACTACTTTCTGCTATTGTCTTTTAGTTTTATATTTTTGACTTTGATTGAATATGTCGTGGTTTTGAAGTACACACGAAGAAAGAAGTATTCGGGTAGCTTTTCGCCGCATAAGATTGAGCTGTCCGAGGATGAATTGGTAAGTAATATATATAAATATAAAACAAACGAACCCTAAGCATTTTAAGTTTGAAGAAGGGAATCAGATAGCGTAGAATAACGAAAATTATCCTAGAATTTTACATTTCATTTTCAAATTAGATGGAATTTAGCAGAGACATTTTCGCATCAGAGGGGTTCTTTGGGAGGGGAATCGCATAGGCGAGTGTTGAGCGCTTTCTCGGTCTGGCAAAAGAACTTGTCCTTTCTAACCTTCTATCAAACTCTAATCACATGTGCCAACGTCCAGTCCAGGAACCAAACTCAAGACCTCAGATGTGTTATATGCTCATTTCAATAAAGTAGAAAAGTCGCACAAAGCTACAAAGCTGAGAGCGGCACGTATATGGGTAATTAAATTTTCCATGTTTCAAGCGCTTGATAACAATTGGTGGAACTGATATCTTTTCCCAGTTTGCAATTCGTATTAAAAGTTTTACTCTTTGGATATGATGTTTCCCATGATCCTCAGCGTTGTCAGCCTTGTAGGTTTTTGGTGACTAATGTTATTGGATTAAGTACACCTCTTGTTTGTCATTAACGCAAAATATTTACTCATTTGTGCCGAGCGTTGGTTCAATAAAATCCCTGTACATTCATTAACGCCATACTAATCTTCATTAGCGCTGATTAAACTTACAATAAAGCGTGCGCACCAATATCCAAAGGCACTACAGATTGTTCCTTGATACTATTTAATGTTCATGCATATGTTAAACACGTTATTGTAAGTTTACTCAGCGCTAATGAAGTTTAGTATGGCATTAATGAATGTACAGTGATTTTATTGAACCAACGCTAGGCACGAATGAGTGAATATTTTGCGTTGATGACTAACAAAAGGTGTATATACGAAACCGATATTTAGACGTTTGGCATTATACCTTAATTACACAGGAAATGAACAAAAACTCAAAAGAATATAATACCACGTAAAAATTTTAGTAGGCTGGCTCTGTGTAACCTTCTATAGTAAATATTGACCTGAGCTGTGCTCAGCCAGAATGAAGTAGCCATTCAGCGAGAAAAAAAAATTTCGTAGCTCAATATTTCCTAATTTCAGGTTTTCTTCTCGATAAACAACAGCTTTTACTCAAAAATAAAGAAAATAAAGCTTACCGTTTAAAGATTCGCCAAATATTTTCTAGCAGTACCATAATTTGTCGTTGTTGATGGGAAATACTTCGATTTGACAAACAATACATTGAGCGCCTAGATTCCAAATCACCTGGCTTCCATAGCAAATAATAACGTTCTATATAGCAAATAAAATAATCATAAAGTAGGCTAAAATGGATTTTCCTGTATTTTTGAAGGTTGAAGACAAAAAGATGATGGAAGTCAAAATCCAGATCGGCAAAACGGCTTACACATTTTTGGACTCACTAAGTGACCTAGCCTCGGACGGAAACAAAAAGACAAACAATTGCCATGGAGAAATGTACCGTTCGTCACCTCGAATGCCTGTCAAGACATGTGACCACTCTAGACCAATCCTGCGTCGGTATTCTAAGAAAGATGGCAAGAAAACTTGTATAACACATTTCTTCAGGAAACCTTTTAGCCCTGGCGAAGGAGAGAACAAAATTGATAAGTACTCCAGATTCTTCTTCCCGTTCAGTTATGGCGTCTTCCTGATGGTATATTTTGCATTTTTCTTCTACTATTGATTGGATCCTTGCTTCAGACTGTCAATAAAGAATCATCTACGGTCTTGTACGGTCTCCCACCATTGTGGTATATTTTGCATCTTTTTGTGCGGTTTTAAACCCTAGTTTTTAAAGGAAGGCTCTATTGATGGTTTTCAACTATTCCCAAGAGAATTAGATAACAAATGAAACGGCGGCCATGTTGGAGGATATAACAAAAGAATTCACTGACAATTATTTTGTTAAGTTCCTCCAACATTGGCGCCGTGAAAGCCATCGATTCAAAAAATATTAGACCAATCAAAAGATCATACAAAAAGGATATTTTGAACTTCACTAATGGCTGTACTGTACTGACAAACTAGTTGGGACCACTGAAGAAAGTTGACCAATCACGACATAGAGTGAAAACAAAGGAATCAAACTTTTGGAAAACAATTTAAACTTTTTCTAAAACTTCGATTTTCAGAATTGAAATTTAATGCTGATTCCAAATCTGGAAAGAAAAAATGGGTGTCCCGAGCTTGTTTATGAGATAATCAGCATTTAATAGAAGCCTACGGGCGAGTTTTGGGAGCAAAAATTGCGCCGCCGGAAGCGATTACAAAAAAATAGGATTCATAAGATAATAGTTATTTGCAGACTCTATGATTACACAAATGAAGGCTAGTCAATCATTCTACAATAATGGATATTTTCGACAAAAAGACAAACAGATAATTTGTCATATCTTGTAGTTTCGGTGCTCTTAAAAAATCTTATAAAGTCGAACACAAATCCATACAAAAAATGTTGATGTAACCAAGACTTTTGGTTTTGAGGGCGCGCACATCGTGGGCTGAAATCGAACGTTCAAAAGTAGGCAGCCACCTTAAGTCAAACTTGAACCAAACAGGAGTATGAAATGAAGCCTAGATATCTCAGAAAAACTTAATACGAGAAATGCGAGACTGTGATTTTCTTAAAGTTAATATCATAAGGACCTTGCTATCTCCTGATTGGCTAAAGCTTTCTTGTCTCAAATTTTGTTCAAGTGGTTTCCCGTTAGCGAGTGTGCGCACTGTAAAGTTGATCGAGCGGATTTCGTATGACCGTGACTAAGGAATGATGCCTAGGGTGCGTAAAAGAAAGTGCAAAGTGACCCAAATCTTCAAAAACCTTTATTTATTTATTGGCGGATACGCCCACCTAGTCTATTCAGCTGGCGGGAAAAAACTCCAGACCAAGTATGACGTTTGCGTCCATCTGCACTCCCCGGGATGCGCATTTTATCGTCTAATAACACATCTGCAAAAGAAAACTTGTTTCCAATTGGTCGATTGGCTGCCAATGTTTTTTTCTTAATCTGTGCAATAGACCAGTTTCGAGTTCCAAATTACCGCTGTGTTCCTTGATTACAGACTCATTTGCACAGGGTTAGCCTCGTATCAGTGTTTAAATATTCACAAATACCAACAGAAAAGTAAAGAATGCACAACTTCAACAATACAAACACTTTGAAACTCCACGGACCTTGACTGGAACATGTGAATATTCTGCACTAACTCGAGGCTAACCCTGTGCAAATAAGTCTGTAATCAAAAAACACAGCGGTAATTTGGAACTCGAAACGGGTCTATTAATATTGTACGAACGGTTTGAATGATACCTTAAATTTTTTGCAGATTTATATATAATAATCAATGTTTGTTTTGTAGATGTGCTATCATTCTGAAATACCACCTGTTTTTAAAGAATTAACGAGGAAAAAAAACACTTCTATTGGTGGAAATGGCTTGATGCCATTTTAAATATTCAATATTCAATATATTAAATGTTTAATATTAATCTTTATTTAAAGATTTAAATGCCAATCGTGCTTAAGCAGCTTATGGTATTTTCCGTCTGAAAAAATTTCATAAAATGTAATGGATAAATAATAGTATCAAAAAAAAATACACTGTAAAAAAATAATTCAATTGAATAATCTAATTTATTTAAGGATAGTTCCCAATGATGGTTTTGCATGTTCTTAAAATAAAAAAATACATATCTATATCAAAATTTATTTATCTGAAGTATGTCCTTGACATTAGAACCAATACTGAATGTGCGCCTAACAAAGCAAGACAAATTTCAGAGTTAATAATAAAATATAAAATTTATTTGTTTATAAAGTTTTTTTCTCTAATTCTAATTCTTTGGATACCTAACTTCAGTAAAATAATTTTATCTTATTATTATCCATTGACATTTCATGAAAATAAATTACTGCATGGATTCAGCATTCAAATTGCTCTACTTGAGTTTAGGATACTCCAGGTAAGGGATATGTATATATTTGGACTCCAATCGATATTTTTATTAATCATATCCTTTTTGTAATCACTACCAAACCCTGCAATCTGATTGGTTCAAAGGAGTGCGATTAATCCCCAACTCGCATCCTTACACAATCCTTCCGAGCTCTTAATCGCATCTTTTTGAAAGAACCAATCACAGAACAGAATTCTTTTATTCAGCCAATCAAAGAAGAGAATGATTAGCATTATTTGTGAATATTTAATGATATGCTGATAAATCGTTTATTATACCAGGAAAAATCTGATTGATTTACTACTTCTTCTACATTAAATCGATTATTCTGCACTCTTTATTGTGTTTTTTACTTGTGTATGATTACAAGAAGGATATGATTAAGTGGTATACGCGAGAGTGCAATTTGTTAATCACAAATATGATTTTGTTCCAAAATTGCACGACACGAAGTTCTTACCGTCATTAATTGTACCATCACTCTATAAACACAAAATCGAGGCTAAGCCTGAGTAAATGAGTCTGTAATCAAGGAACACAGCGGTAAATTGGAACTCGAAAAGTGTCTATTAAAGATTAATTTGGATAGTTTCCATTCGCATTTTTACTTAGTAATTGGATAGTTTTTATCAGCCAATCAAGACTCAGGAGAAACAATAAAAATTGACTTTGAACCAATCAGCGCGCGACTTTCGCTTGCCGGCCGGCCTTGTTTACTTAATTTTTTTGTCTTATAAATTTTTTGGAAATGGCGGAGGAAGTTGTAAATTGGGATCTTTTTAAAGACCTTTTTAGCGTAAATAATCTGCAATATGACTACATGTCTGTCTAATTTGGAAATAATTGAATTAAAAACATTCCTCTGACTGCCAAATTGGACTTTGCTTATTGAATTTTGTCAGTCTTCGGAATTTTCTTCATCCAATTACTTCCAAATTAGACAGCATGTAGTCCTATTACCTATACAAATTGCTCCGTCTTATAAGAATTGTACTGATCGTCATGGCATAACACTTCTTTTGTCATTGAAGTTACAACAGCGAGTCCAGTGGGTCAATACAATATAAAGCTGATACAAGCCGCTGATTCCCATCATAGCTGCCATTTCTAACGGCTTTGTTCATTGTTTTAATTATCCTTTGCTATCGATCAGTTATTCTTGCAAGTTCGTGATTTGGGATTCCTGTGCCTCTCTCACGCAAAGGGGAGGGGGGGGGGGCGTTTAATAGATAAGAGGCGTTTATTAGAGAGGGGCGTTTATTTCAATCTTTAAAAACTGAAAATAACAATGCACAGATATACCCAAAATGTAAGTACAGCAACGAGAAGTTCAAAAACAGATCACAGTCAACGAGTAAAATCGATTCAATGTGAACATCGGAATCGTCCTGGTCAATCAAGCATTCATTCTCTTCATTTGCTTATCAATGTCCGAGTCTGTAATGTCACTAAAAGGTTCTGGGCGTTTGTGTTCGTCTATCACAGAAAGCTGCATCTTGAGTTGCTCCAATCCTCAGTTGTTCCTGGGTAGTATTATGCAAGGACAAATCGGCGAAAGATTGCTGACATTCTTAGCAGGGAGATAAAAGCTATCAAAGAGCGATACTCGTACTTCGATCTCGAAATAGAGCAAGATATGATTAGAAAACCATTATTGATTAAAGTGCTACTTGGACGAAAATCGTTCCAAAATTAAAACTCTTTCATTCGAGCTGGAACTTTTCTGAAATAATCTTGAATACATTAAGAACCACTCACTGAAATATCTTTCTGATATTCGAAAGGAAAGGGCCAAAATTTTACGATTTATTTTCGTCCGCCATTAATTT